GGCCAGCCCCACGCTGCCCCAGGTAGCGCCCCCACCATGAAGGGACCCTCGCAGCGCCTGAGGACCGAAACATCCCTGCCTCAGCATCCGACCGCGTCCGGTCGCCATGGAGACCCAAAGGTACCTTCCAGCTGCGAGACTTAAAAACGCGGCACTGCCCCTCGCGCATGCGTAAAACTGCGACCAGGTTCGCGCATGGGTGGACTGAGTTCCTCTGTGAGCACCTCCGCCTTTGCAGCACGAACAATGTTCGGGACAATACCGGGCCCGGCTTCTTTTCCACGGCCCGGTCATCCTGACGCCAGTCCTTGGTCCGTTAGCCTGTGGCCCGGTTCAGCTACGTTTGTTAGCTGTTTTTCTGAAAAGAATCGGAAACGTTGAATTGTCACTTTTTCATAATTATGGCAAACCCACGACATGAAGAACTATCCAGTTGACACATTCCTCTACAGAAAGGCCATGAGACCACGCAATTTGCAACTAATCGGGTTTTGCAAGTTCTGTTTAAGCCACGCGGCCATTGAAGTATCAGAGATACCAACAACACGCCCGCCTTGACACAGCGCACGCGCAGCGATCCGCGCAGAAGTGTCTGGGAAAGCGGGATGGGCGCTTCCTTGTGTGGCATTGTGGGAGATGTAGTCCATCCTGCCTTCCGTTCCTGTAGTTAAACAGCATAGTGTGAAGCCCTAGAACTGCGATTCCTGGAACGTCAGGTGTTTCCCGGGATGCTTTGCAAAAGCATGGCGGGCAAGATGTGAATGTCAGTAGGAAGGTAAATAGGGCATTTTAATTCAAGAGAAAAAAAGAAAAGTGCCTAACTTCTCTTGTAGATCATTCATCTTGATATCCGTCTAACACAGTGTGTAATGTGAATTTAGTTGGTTTCATGTCTTGTCCGCCTGAAAGTGTGTATTACGAAGCTTTAGAAGTTGCAGTCCCGAAGCCTCTCAGTTTTTGTGAACATGATTTGTGCTCTTCTACGAGTTCTACAGCATGCGGAGAAGCTGCACGGGTCCTTGGGCAAGCAGTTGTTGTTGCCACACTTTGTGCTCACCAAAGCTTGCTTTAAAACTCAGCCTTTGAAATGGGGGCTGCGAGAGCAGAAGAAAACAGTGCAACCTAGAACAGTTCTTGGGGTCACCCAGAAAACCTTCTGGACACAAGGATCGGACCCCCGGAAAGCAGAGGAGGACAGTAACAAGCAAGTATCTATTCGCAGGAATCAAAAAGAGGAAACCGGCATCTCAACGTCTCAAAAAGGTACAAAAAAAAAGTATCTAGGACTTAAGACGGTCAACTCCTGGTGCTCCCCACTTATGGGAGTGCCTGCAACCCAGCATAGCACCCATTGAAAGAGAGGTGGAAAACTGCAGAAACACAAGAAATGGGAATCTTTCTGTGAAAATATTATGTCAGGACAGTGTTGGGGGAACAGAAACTCGGAGTGCCTAGGCCAACTACATGATTTTGAAAGCAGCAATAAGTAATTATGTCTGAGTCCAGTTGTTATTGTGCCCTCAATTCGGGACGTCATGAAGTGTCTACTGACATGTAGTTTATGACATTAATAGACAATAGACTAGAGATTGGTGTTGCAGCCCTCAGCCTCATTGTCTAGTAAAGATATTGGAAGCGTTACTGTGGATATCAGTCCCATAAATTTTACATTTGTTGGTAGATGGCAATCTTTCTATTATTTGAATTAGTGTTTTCTTCTTTAAAGTGCTATATATTATTGTTATTGCTCTTGTTATCATTATTATTACGACTACTATATATTTGTATATGTGGGGTGTGGGTGTGTGTGTCTTTATCTGTGTGTACATGAGTATAGAAGAAGGAAGCCAGAAAAGGTTGTCAGATACCCTGGAGCTGAAGTTACTGGCAATTGTGAGCCACCAGGTTACTGGGAGCTGAATTTTGGATGTCTGCAAAAGCAGTAAATACTCTTAACCACTGAGTCATCTCTCCAGTCACCTGAACACATTTCAAATTAGCAACCTGTACTGAAAACCAAAAGTATGTTATGGTACTACTTTTAAGTGATTTTATAGTATTTCATTGTACCTATGAAAAAAACTAGAGGAAAAAAATGCCACCTGCTAAACTTTGAATTCTTGGGAAAATAAAATTTTAAGGACTGACTGAAGTTAGAAAAATCTGGGTTCCTCGTGTGACTGTATGTATGTATAAATGTACCAAAGAGGTAAAATGCTCTCATAATCATTGAGAGTATACTTGTGATGATGTAGCTTTTCACATATAGCATGCATTTACATAAATATGTTTATACATACCTCACTTTGATTAATTACCTTATCTCACCAAACTATTCTTTAATCCATATGTCCATATGTTAGTGCAGAAGAAATAAAAAGTCTCTGTAGTTTTATTTGATTCATTGATCTTCCTAGCCAACTACATTTCAATTCCAAACTCAGTGCACGAATCAGTGGGGTCTATGTGTTGGACTGAGAGTTGCTACCTTTGGGTCCTTTTGCTTCTTTGCCTTGGGTTGCCTGGGTCAGGACAGGATAGACTTGTGTACATGTTGCCTCATCTGTGACCATCCTCACTCTGAGAGACTGATAAGGGTTTTCTGTTTGTTACTCAATGGAAGCAGTATCAATCAGTGGCAGAAATCCAGAGATTCCTGGACCCTGTGCACAGCCATGCCACACCAAACAGGCCTGTTCTCCTCTGGTCCTGGGGAGCTAAGTGGGAGCTAGGCCTGGTTTGCAGTGGGGTGAGGAGTTCTTCTGAAGCTCAAGGGCATTTGAGATGAGCTACTGAGAATGGTGCACTGGATCCGGACCCACTGGCTAGGAACACTTGAAGCCTCTGGAGGCCAGGGTTCTGTGGACACACTTGTGACTTGTTGACATTTTTTCTTTGCAGTGAAAGAAGCTGGGAGAGACGTCACCTACTTGATAGTGGTGCTCCTTGGAGTCAGCATTACAGGTTACAGACCCAGCAAGCGTTTGAATGCCTTTCCACAGCCTCTCACCCCACAGCTCCACTTCATCGCTCGCTCCCTCCCTCTCTCTCTGCTTTTTCAGGCGGCTTGTTATACACGATCTTCAAAGAACTGTTTTCATCATCCAGTCCTAATATCATATATGGGAAAGCCTTAGGAAAATGCAGAACACACCCTGAGGTTAGTTTTCTGATGACTATGTTGAGGAAAAGGAATGGATCTCTTCTGAAGCCTGTGCCTTCACACAATGCTGAGCTGATGGGTAGTTTTTCCGTTTTTAGGCCTCTGTTCTTTGACGCACTTTGGCCCTGGTCACTGTGTATGCTCTCCTCCCGCTGTGCGAGTGATCATTTTACCATTGTTCATAGGTGTTAAATGCACCTGCAGCAGCATCTCTGCCATCCTTTCTCTTGTTGGTAGAGACTATACTTAGGGCACTCCACTGTAATCAGTGGAAATTCAGGGAATTGTGTGTGGTCGCCAGTAGGCATCCCAACTGTGTAAGGATGCAGTGGGAATCACAGGCTGAGGCTCTCAGGCATTTTCAGATTGAGACAAATAGAATTGCACAGTATCCATGAAAGAATGGAGTATTGCCAGGGTTGTAGCTTCCTAGCTGGTCCTTAGACTTCAACAGATATGTTTTGTCCTACTTTTTGCCAGGCCATATGCTTGCCTTAATAGATCATCTTAATCTTAAGCTAGGCTTGACTTATTAATTCTTTGGATATTTGTTCCCTTCTTTTAGCTCTTTCCTTTTCATATATACTTGCATATATACTTTCTTATATACTTTCATATATACTTTCCTTTTCATATATACTTGCACTAGTAATGACACTCAGCAAAAAGACAAACTACAGTATTTTTTAGTTATGTTCAATTTGTGTTTCTAAGAGAATATTCTAAAGTATTTGCTTTGAAACTATAGTTCCAGGACAGCCAGGGCTATACAGAGAAACCCTGTCTCAAAAAAGCCAAACAACGTCCCCTCATCCTGTAGCATTCTGAAACTACCAGTGACACCACAGAGTGACCCATCTCTGTGCCCATGTGTGAAATGTTTACCTAAGTTACTTACAGTGTGATTTTTACATAATGCCCTTTTCTCTAGTTTTCTTGTTTGAGTCAGGAACCCTCACAATAGTGATTTTTTTTTTTCTCCTGTCATCATTTGGCATGTGTGACTTGAATGTCAGAATACTTTCATAAGAGCCATGAAAAGAATCATACAAAATAAGTGTAGTTTCTATTCTGCAGGTGCTTGGTGTCTTTGGTGAGCCTGTGAAAGGCTATGGGGAAACGTCGAGACGTGGGAGGAGACAGCATGTCAGGTAATGAGGACTCCCTGGGAGAACTCTAGGGTAATCTCAGATTAAAGGGAAATTGGATGTGCCTCATTGTATTTTCTCCACAGTTTTGTTGAATATATAAACAATGGACTAAAGCGCATCCGAGTGAAATTCTACATTCAGGGCTCTGAACCAGGGAAGGAAGGAACGGTGCATGCAGAAGTGGAAGAGGTATAGCAGCCTCAGGTCACCGGGTCCCTCAGGGCCAGTGGGGTCCAGTGAGCTCTGAAACAGTTAATAACAGCTACGTATTTTTCAGAACCCAGGGAGCGGCAAGTTTGAATTTCGATTCATAATTGTGGAAGTGACTCCTACAAGATCTATTATTGTTGAAGATAACCGTTCCCAACAAAGTTAAAAGCCTCAAGCCAGCTTGCTACTTCCTGCCAAGAATGAAGGGATCCATTCTCACTGTGTGTGAGTGTTCATGAGTTTGGACAAAGTGAGATCTTTCTTGTGAAAAATCATGAGATGTAGCAAATTTTACTTTATTGTTGAATTGCCAATCGTGACAAAATTCCAGCTCAACATTCATGATAACCTTTCATTACTAAAACTTATATACCATATAAGTAAAAACTTCAGTATTTTATGCAGTTTAATATTGTGTGGCTTTTATACAATCTACAGAATAAAAATAAACCGAACAAATAAACCTATCAAAAAGATGTCAAAAGCATTTTTATTTACTATGGAATCTAATTTGAGATAAGCATGTGGATTACTTAAGAAGAGTAGTAAGCCAGATGACAAATACATTGTGGGAAGGGCTGCACACACTCATGATCCTGGGAATAAGTGTGTCCCCCATGGCTAAGGAGAAAAGCACACTGCATAAGCAGGGCATGGCTCACTCTACCTTTACCACTAGAAGCCTGCACCCTCACAGGTCTTAGCATGTCACACCTCCCCATTCTATGGCTGTTTAGGGTGACTGAGCCAGAGTTACAGGTCTGAGCTATTTCAGAATGGATACTTTACACTGCACATCAGAAGAATGGGTCTCATAAGGGAATTGAGCAAATGTATAAGAGGCTCCTTTAAATGTTTTGATGTGTATGGACAAAGCTCTAATTTTATAGATATTTGCAAGAACATTTCACAAGAAAAATGTCTAGTTTGGCTTGTCCAAACATATCATCACATACAAAAATATATAACCTGTTCTATTTGAAGTGTTTTCTGAGCATTTGTTAAACAGGCCTTCCCATTGGAAGTCTTGATGATACAAGTGCTATATGCATTAGAAAGGTCTAGAAATCTCTTTTATCCTCAGGAGCTTCAATGTAGGGTTTCTTTGCTGGTGTTCTAACTTGGAATGGGTGGAGAGGTTTCAGACAGATATGGAGGAGAGGAAATCTGTCTATCCCACCACCACCCCACCCCCACACCCCTGTCGACCCAGCTTAGTTGATCTTGCTTAAGTTGCTTTGGTTTTTTTACTTTTAACTACTCTGTCTCAAATATTTTTAAACTTCTTTTTTCCCTTTAAGGTGGTGTCTTACTAAATAGTACTGGCTTACCTTAAACTCTTGATCTGCTTGCCTCAGTCTTTCTGGTGCTATAATTGCAAGCATGAACCACCACTCCCAAGTTTAAATGACTTTTATCCAAAAAATCTCATACTTAGGGAGTATGGAAAATATCAGAGCAGACCTTTTGTCTTCCTGGTACCACATTTTAAGTGAAAAGGTGTGATAGTTTGTATGTTTGGCCCAGGAGGTGGCACTGTTAGGAGGTGTGGCTTTTTTGGAGTAGGTGTGGCCTTGTAGGCATGGGTTTTAATACCCTTGTCCTAACTGCCTGGAGACCAGTATTCTGCTAGCAGCCTTCAGATGAAGAACCCTCAGCTCCTCCTGCACCATGCCTGCCTGGTTGCTGCCATGTTCCCATCTTGATAATGGACTAAACCTTTGAACCTGTAAGCCAGCCCCAATTAAAAAAAATGATTCCACCGGCCTGTGGTGGTGCACACCTTTAATCCTAGCACTTGGGAGGCAGAGGCCGGCCTGGTCTACAGAGTGAGTTCCAGGACAGCCAGGACTACACAGAGAAACCCTGTCTAGAAAAACAAAAAAGAAAAAATGATTTCATGATTTAAAAAAAAATGTATTTTACTTCACTGGAAATAGCATTAGCCATGCAGCTGAGAAGCTACTAAGCCAAAACTCAGGAGGCAGAGGCAGGCAAATCTTTGTGAGCTTGAAAGACAGCTTGAAAAATAGTGAGTTCCAAGACAGTCAGAGCTATAGAGAGAGATGCTGTCTCAAAAACCCTGGAGTGTGGAGGCTGTGTATATAAAGTCAAGGCAGATGCTGTCTCAAGAACACTGAGGTCGGAGGCTGTATTCATCTACAGTTAAACTCCCTGTGAAGTGTCTTTAGTGCCATTGTGGCCAAATTCACTTTCCCTTGTGTGCCATATAATGTACTAAAAGTTTTCTATGAGGAGCATAGATAAAAGTGTAGTTCAACTTGCCCCAAAGATGGAAAATATGCTGAAGTACTCTGCCCTCTCTTCCACCAATAGCCTATTTCCAAATGGCTAACCCAGCCTATAGCGAGAGTAGTCACGGCTTCCCTGGTTTTCGACTGTAATTCTGATGAGCCTGGGAGAGGTTAAACTGCCTCTCCTTTCCTCTCTCCCTTCTCTTCTCACTCCACACTCCCCCTTCTTCGTGGTATTTGCAGTAATTTTTTGTTTAAAACAGTTAACAGAAAACCAAATGCATCACAAGGTATTTAACATGTACTGATGTCATGTAGTACTCTTGGATATGAAAAGTTTACCTGGTCAAATAAAAGAAAGCATATTATACTTAAGCCTGTTTTAAAAGGCCAGATCCATCAAATACAGAACTCTACCTTTAGTCTCTGCAGTTAGTATCAAGAGCTGAGAGTTAGTATCATGCATGAGAGAGATGATGCAATGAATGAAGAGAAAGACCATGGGGACTGGGCCAACCGTAATGCCACAGTCTAAATGGGACTCACACCCACAAACTTCTCATTCTCTCATGGTCAGCAGAATATTCACTTGTTTAAACACAATTGTCAACATTGTTTTACATATAAGTTACATCACTAAGTGCTGAGGGAAGCATATGGCTTTCTCCTCTAGCATACATGCTGAAGGACCATGTATTAATTTCCACATGACCCCTTGTCTTTCATGAAGAATGATAGAAATCAAATGTTTTCTCCCAGAAACCACTGACTACTGTGATGGGCTGCCAGTAAATGTTGACTTAAGAAAAGTTCACATGGAAAACATAAACTTAAGAAACCACATATACTTAAATAAATAAACTTAAGAATATACTTAAATAAATAAACTTAAGAAACCAAAATACCTCAGTCTTTGATGTCAGTTTGTACTTAGCCTATAGATAGCTAAAACATACTAATACATAAAAATGCAATGCCAGCCAGGCAGTGGTGGCGCATGACTTTGATCCCAGCACTTGGGAGGCAGAGGCAGGTGGATTTCTGAGTTCAAGGCCAGCCTGATCTACAGAGTGAGTTCCAGGACAGCCATGGCTACACAAAGAAACCCTATCTCGAACAAACAAAACAACAACAAAAAAAAAAAAACAAAAAAACTCAATGCCCTTTCACAGATGTGTTTCAAATCACATGAATAGAAAAATCCTACTTTTTTTTTTCATATCATGACATATCAATGACAAAGGTTCATTTCTGTCTTTACCAAATGTGATGGTGTCATTTGTGATTATTGAGGGTTTTCACTTCTAATATATTCAGTCCTCAAGTACTACAGGGCTGTGCTCTGACTAGGGACCAGAGCCAGCAGACACCCAGAGAGCAGCTGAACACTGCACCAAACAGCTTTCTGCAAAGCTGCAACCTCGTGCTCAGCTCCACAGCTCAGGGACCTGCCTCCACCTGTGCGTACACATCTGCAGTCACTTAATAAAAGCTGACACATTTAACCTGCTAAAGAGACAAGTTGTTTGATTCTCTTTGGTGAGAGCAAAGAAAGATGTCCTTAATACAGCTTTTACCAGGCTCTTTGGATGCTTAAAGAGAAATGGAGAAAAAGATGAAGCAGAGGACTCCAGGCTCACCTTCCTCAAGCTGAGCAGCTCTGTGCTCCAGGCCAAAACACTGACAGTGTTCTTAGTGTTGACATGTAGAGAGAATGTATATTAGCTACTCTTCTGGAAGCTTTGAGGGAATATCTGTCAAAGCAACTTAAGGGAGACTCTATTCTGGTTGATGGTTTAAGGGGACATATTGCATCATGACAGGGAATTCATGGAATCCGATGGCTCCAAGGCACCAGGACCATGCAGTAGGGATGCCCCATCTCTTCCCGTTATAGAAGGACAGGAAGGGAAGGGAGGAAAAGGGAAAGAGCATGTGTGCATGCCTAGAAAAGAGGAAGAAAGAAGAGAAAGGAGGGAGGTGAGAGAAAGGAGAGGAGCAGGGAAAGACAAGGGAGAAGAGAGGAGAAAACTGAGCCCAGCTAAAAGCAGATCTGCCCAAAGTAGCCCTCTTCCTCCAATAAGGCCCCACACCCTAAAAGTTTCACAACCCCTCCAGCAGCAGCTGGAAATGTGTTCAAGCAAACACACGAGCTGTGGGAGACATCTTACATCTAAGAGAATGTGTTCTGATAGAGTATGACCCCTGCAAAACAAACAAACAAACAAACAAACAAACCGAACTTCACAAAAGTGTAAGCACTTTTTAAAATGTGTAACTGAGTAAAATCTTAAGAGACCATCCCCCAAATTTGACATTCATAGTACTGCTCATTACCTGCCCTTATAACCCATAAAACCAGGAATGATAATACTGGAATATTGTACTCCACAAGCTGACATAGCAGACCAGACACAGCCTAAGTTAGAAGTCGTCAAATCAACCCCAAACAGCCCAGCTGCTAAAGTTAAAGTGCACTGAATTTCCTATTTAAAAATATAATTTGGATCTCTGTTCACCTTAATGCTTTTGACAGGTGTCGCTATTATGTGTTTTTGACACCAGTGCCAGAGGAAAATCCCAGATGTGATCTTTCTGCTTACCTAAAATGGATTTTGGAAATACCCTTTGATTCTTTATGGAAATTACAGCATTATGAAGAAGTGCTTATAGAAACTAACTATTTATTACAACTCACAGGAGGCCAGTCTTGTAATTTGGGCAAAGTTTCAGAACAAAAAAGAAGATTGAATTGTTTAATGTGCTTAAAGGATTTAGCTTAATTAGATTCTGTCTTTCGGTTGAAATAATTTAGATAGCAAGAAAGAAATGGAGTCCCAGCTCTGACGAATTTTAAATATGCCATCCAAATGCCTTGTTTGGATTCTATTAAGCAGAACTGTTTGCAGGGTGTTAAAACCTCTTTGCCTTTTTAAAAACTGCCATAGAGTTTAACTGTGTCTTAAAAGTAATGTTCTGCCAGGTGATGGTGGTGCATGCCTTTAATCCCAGCACTTGGGAGGCAGAGGCAGGCAGATTTCTGAGTTCGAGGCCAGCCTGGTCTACAGAGTGAGTTCCAGGACAGCCAGAGAAACCCTGTCTTGAAAAAACAAAAAAAATAATAATAATAATTTTCTGAATTTGTTACTGGAGAGGAGAAACATTTTTTCTGCTCCAGAACCTTTCAGGTAGCTTTCCTTTTTTTTTTTTTTTTTTTTTTT